AAACTTACTTGGACACTTATTAGGTAGTAATTGAAGCAATGAGAATGGGATATGCTGCCACCATATCATAAATCTGTTATTGTCCTTGTTAGTTAATCATACTACTGAGCATTTTGTAAGTTTGCTTCTTGTTGTATTTATGAAAATAACAATTTGAAAATTACATGCCTATATGTAAAAGGCTGTTAGAGGAGTTTTTTGAACTAAGGGGCTGAGGAAAGCCAACAGGTGCTGAGGAGCACATACAGGCAGTCCCCGACTTACGCGGATCCGACTTACGTCGGATCCACACTTACGAATGGGGCTTTCTCGCCCCGGAAGTCGGGGCGAGAAAGCCCCGTTCGTAAGCTGCTCCGGTGCCCCTGGTCTGCTGGAGACCGTCTCCAGCAGACCAGGGGCACGATGCTTTGCTCTCCCAGCACACTGCTCCAGGGAAGAAGGCAGGATTGTCCCACACTTTCCAGCAGAAAATGGATGTAGTTGGGAGAGAAAAGCAGCTGGGGCTACCTTGTTCCACTTCCCCTGCTTCTGCTGACGAGTGCAGAGGAGGGCGGGGGACTGGACCTTTACTGCTGACACCAGCCCTGCTGGTCCACGGCGCTGCTTTGGTTGGGGGGAAGAGGAGAGGCAGGGAGAGGACAGCGCAAGAGAGGGAAGAGTAGAGCAGAGGTGAAGAGGAATGGTCCTGACCCTTCCCTGTGTTGGGGGAGGAGTTGCATGGCTGGTGGTCCCCCAGATGGCCTCTGACCATTCCCCTGTGGTAGAACCGCATGTGAGCACATGACCAGAGCTTCTCTGAGCTGCCATTTCCCCAGCCAGAGGGAGTAGGGGATGACATCAGAATGAAGAACCACTTCCTCTCCCCTGCTAGGCAGAGCCCGTGGGCCCGATGCAGCCTGTAACTTGCATTGATCCAGCCTGTTACGCTTGGGATTCCGGACTCCATAGCAGGACAAGCCAGCTCTGGCTTGCTCTGTTGTGGGAAGAGAGAGCCCAAGCCTCGTGGGCCGGATCAAGACATGCCGCATGCTGGGCCATAGGTCCCCATCCCTTTAACTAGATACAAATTTAATCACTAGCAGAACTTAAAATTATCGATAAGGTGAACTGATTTCGAAAGAACATGGTTTTCAAAGAAGAATAAATAAATTAAAACTAAATAAATATTTAGCTACCAGATTGCAGAAAATATCTCAAAAGTAAGTGACATGTTATTGCATATACAGGCAGTCCCCGACTTACGCGGATCCGACTTACGTCGGATCCGCACTTACGAACGGGGCTTTCTCGCTGCTCCGGTGCCAGCAGAGTTGCTCTGCCCCGGGCTTCCTGGAATCAGCTGCTGATCAGTTTCAGCAGCAGCTGACTTGGGGACGCCTGGGGTTCTTAAGTTGATTCTGTATGTAAGTCAGAACTGGCGGTCAGTTTCAGCAGTGTCTGAATCTGGACGCCAGTTCCGACTTACATACAGATTCAACTTAAGAACAAACCTACAGTCCCTATCTTGTACGTAACCCGGGGACTGCCTGTAGTTTGGACTGAGACATTCCTAAGTTTTTATTACAGGGGATAAATACTCTAGTCTATATCTCAGTAAAAAGGGCAAGTTAGAAGTTTAGAAAGTATAGGAAGGAACTGAAGAGAAATAATTATCCTTGTAAAGGTGGAAATACCAAAGAAATCCTCCACAGTAACATTTAACTTTAAAAAGGGGAGCTTCATAAAAAACAAGCGAGTCACAAGAGTAAAATGCTTGCAAGCATTTAAGCATTTAAAAACATCATAACAAGAGGCTCAGACTAAATGTATACCCCAAATTGTTAAAAGAGGGGGGAGGGAAGCACTTCTGAGAGGATTAAAAAAAAGCCACCATGCCTCAACTGCATAAAAAAAGCTTTTGGAGACAAAGACATCCTTTTAAAATTGGAAGTCATATCCTACTGAGGAAAATAGAAAGGAACATAAACTCTGGTAAGTGAAGTGTAAAAATATAATTAGGCAGTCCAAAAAAGACCTTGAAGAGCTAGGAAAAGGCGCATAGACTACCAGCAATTTTTTTAAAGTACATCTGAAGCATTACTGCCCACACAGTAATGAGGCCAGTGGAAGATGGAGGCGCTAAAAGAGTTCTCAAAGAAGACAAGACTGTTGCAGAGAAGTTAAGTGAATTTTTTTGCATCAATTTTCACTGCAGAGGATGCAAAGTAGATCCTCACACCCAAGTCATTCTTTTTAGGTGACACATTCTGAGGAACTGTCCCAGATTGAAAAATCAATACAAGAGGTTTTTCAACAAATAGATAAATTATACAGCAGTCAGTCACTAGGACCAGCTAATATTCACCTAAGAGTACTGAAGGAAATCAATTATGAAACTGCAGAACTAACCATGGTATGTAACTGAATGCTTTAATCAGCCTCTTTAACAGATAACTGGAGGATAGCTGATGTGACACCAATTTTTCAAAAGGCTTCAGAGGTGATCCAGGCAATTGCTGGTAAGCCAAACTTCAGTACCAGGCAAGGTGGTTGAAACTGTAGTAAAGAACAGAATTAGTGGACACCTCAATTAACAAAATATGCTGAAGAATCAACACCACTTTTGTAAAGGGAAATCATGCCTCACCCATCTATTAGAATTCTTTGAGGGAGTCAACAAACACATGAACAAGGGTGATCCAGTGGATATAGTGTGCCTGGACTTTCAGAAAACCTTTGACATATAGTCCTTCACCAAAGCTCTTAAGCAAAGTAAGTAGGGTAAAAGTAAAGCTTCCCACATAGATCAGTAACTGGTTAAGAGAGGAAATAAATGGTCAGTTTTCATCATGGCAAAATCCTGCTATTTCCTTTTCTCCAAGGATCTAAATGGAAGCTAATGCTGCTCAACATAAATTAATTTATCTGAAAAAAGGGGTAAACAACATCTACGTAAAGTTTGTAGATCACCATAAATTATGCAGGATAAGTCCAAAGCAGACTTCAGAGTTATAATGGATTTTCACAAAATTGGATGACTGAGTGACAATTCAATGTTAAGTGCACATTGGAAAACATAATCCCAACTATGAACTCACACTGTTAAGCTTTAAAATAGCTATTACCACTCAGAGATTTTGGAGTTATTGTGGATAGTTCTGTGAAAACATCCACTCAATGTGCAGTGGCAGTAAAAAAGATAAATAAGAGAGACGAAATGTCATAATGCCACTATATAAATCCATGATCTCCCCATCTGGAATACTGTGCTAAAAAAAGGATTAGATAAATTCATGGAGAATGGGCCATCAATAGGTATTAGACAAGATGGTCAGGCTTGTAACACCACGCTCTGGGTGTTTAGGGTTGTCAGATGTCTGGTTTTGAACCGGACAGTCTGGTATTTGAGCTTTCTGTCTGGGAAACAAATTGAGAAAATACTGGACATATAAATGTCCGGTATTTTCTAATTAAGTTTTTATTCTTATCATGAGTATCAGTACATAGTTGTGTACTGCCTCGCTGGTAGACATGGTCACACTGTGTGAGCATGTCTACCAGCCAGGCAGTACGCAACTACACAGTAGAGAGGAGTGGGGTGGGGCCGGGCCAGGGGGGGATGGAATCCCTGGGGCCAGACTCACCAATGCACCCCACTGGGACTATGCAATTAAGTTTTTATTCTTATCATGAGTATCAGTACATAGTTGTGTACTGCCTCGCTGGTAGACATGGTCACACTGTGTGAGCATGTCTACCAGCCAGGCAGTACGCAACTACACAGTAGAGAGGAGTGGGGTGGGGCCGGGCCAGGGGGGGATGGAATCCCTGGGGCCAGACTCACCAATGCACCCCACTGGGACTATGCGCAGGATGG